TATACTGGTTCGTTGAAATGAGGAGTCCTCATTGAGGACCCTGCTTTTCCACTTGCACTGGTGGGTTGGAAGGATCGTTTCATGCTGAACGTGTGGGTAAAGGCGGTAAAGGCTGTCTGGTTTGAGCACACTGAAGCCCCGAAATGCCCCGAATCTGCACTTTGAAGCAGGGCCTGCTGCCTTTTTGTTCAGTGAAAAATTGAGGTTTTGAAAGTTTACGAAGTTTCTCTAAATTACTCGAAGTTACTCGGTTCTTTGACAAAGCATTTTTCTGACCACTTAGCAAGTTGTTTGCTGCCGTTGAAGCTGACAGTTGTGACAGTTGGGTCCTTTTTGCAAAGCGAGCATGCCATGTCCAACGCTTTGGCCAGTGCAACACGAGGCAGGTGACAGCACTAGCGCTAACTCAGGGATTCCAAAGTAAGCACAGAAAATCCAAAGTAAGCACTTCATTTAAGAAAATGTGAACAACATGCAGCTTCTTCTGGCTCGTGTTTGGTCCAATTGGTTGATGGACAAGGAAACTGAGTGCAAGAATTTGAGTGTCGAGCGCCGACAGTTTAGATTTCTGACCACCGACTGTTTCCATGCAAATGAAGGCATTTGAGACACGAGCGCAGGTACTCACAAAGTTTTGGATTCTCATTCGGAAAACTCCTCGTTCAAGTTGACTCAGCATCGTCTTGCAGAACTTTGGCATCCTATTTGCAAAGAGTTGCCTGGCACTACGTGATTTTAGGCGATTCCAATTATTTGCTTTGCTTGCTGCTGGGTCTTTGTGCATATCGATGTTTGTTGACCTGAAAGGTGTGCACATGCTGTATGTTTCATCTTGGTGTAACAGGTTCCAGCGAGCTATACGAGATAGAATGGTTCAATCGGATTTTTGCCCTATCTCTACTAGAAGAAGACCATGTAGCAGATTTTCATGCGGAACCTTCCGTTGTGTGGCATGTAAACCTTTGCGGTGAAGACTTGCTGAGTAAACACAAGTTTTGTAAAAGTTTGGTTCCCTTGAAACACATACATTCAAGTTGTGTCACGAAAGGCTTTTGTTGCGAAACAGGTTTGTCGCAGAAACGAAAATTGCGTAAATGATTCACCTTGTCAACATTTTGTTACGTACACATTGTTTTGAGAAGACGGTAGCGATGCGTGGAGATTCAGTAGAACATGAAAGCAAATTGCGTGGAAAACAAATCAGATACAACGCAATGCAACAAATACAACAACGACATACGAAAGCAAAAAAGTAATTCATTGAAACATGACGAAGCAAATAGCAGCTGCACAAAGAAACCGTTTTTTTGCTTTTAGTTGAAGGCTTGCTTGAGCTGTGCCGTGTGACAGGAAGTCGAGGAAGAAAAGGAAGTGGAGAGTCCAGCAGATGCGAGGAATAGGAAGGTGGACCAGGATGAAGAGAATGAAGGAGAGACACAGAAATAAGACAAATAAGAAATAATAACATGAAATAGCAGAACTGTGACAGAAGGAATTGCAAAGAGAAAAGAAAGCGTCAGACAAAGCAAACTCAAAAGCCAACGAAGCGGAAAAAAGGAATCTGAATCTTGAGCAGCGATGAGGAGAGGCATGGAAAGGCAGACATAAGGCCACTTGCACTCGCGATTAGACACACCAGCAAGACCCGTAACTCGGATTCAGTGACAAACTCAGTGATTTCAATCATTTAAGTGGTGTGTAATTAAAGAAACGCTTGTGTCCATTCGTCTTTGAATGTGTTTCCGAAGGGGACATGAACATTTGGAACTCCTATAACTTCACACAACTTCACACAACTTCACACAACTTTCCACTTTGTCACAGCTCCACGGCTTTACGCGTCCAACTTCACGCGCACATGGTATTTTTTGCGCACTTTCCCGTGCTACAGACCGAAGAAGTTGTTGTTCTTGCTGCTGTCGTTCTTCTTTTGTGTTGTCTTGTTTGGTCGTTGTCTTGTTGTCGGTGTTACTGTGGCTTCTGTCGTTGGTGTTGTCCTTAATATGTTCATCTTTCATGTTGTGAATGGTTCAGGTTGGTGTTGTCGTTGTTATGATTGTCATAGTTTAAGTTTATGTTGTTGTTGCTGCGACCGATGTGGTCGTTGGTTGTTTTTTGTTTCTCTTGAAGTGCTTCTTGTTGTTGTCGGTGACAGTTGTATTGCTGCCAGTTGTTGTTTGTGTTGTTTTTGAATGGTTTTGGCTTGAGTGTGTTGTCTTTGCAAGTGTGTTGTTGGTGGTGCGCTTGTGGTTGTTGATGTCTTCTGAAAGATCGCATCCTATGAAAGGTGCACTTCTTTTTAATCCCTCACAGGGTCAGTGGCAGCCGAGGCTGTCTTGTGACCCCACCAGCTACATCGACATCTACCCGGTGTCCCACAAGCACACGTTGAAGCTGATGCAGACGGCCAGTGCAAGCCATGTTGGTTCTCACATCAGGAGGGGCCATGGGACGCCATGGGCGGTCACACCATGTCACAATGCTTTGGTACCCAAGGTCGAAAACTTGCAATGTGCTTGGTATGTCATGACATGAATAATGAATAATAGTGAGAAATCATAGGAACCACATGCCCAAAAGGCGCATAGTTCTGCACCATAGGCCCACATGTTTTTCGTTTGTTGTCCGTTTTTTTCAGGGAATTAGGGGTCTGGAGGTGGGCCTAAGTTTGGTTCATAACCTTGCTTTTTGGTTATGCAGCTACATCCACATACATCCACATACATCCGCATACATCCACATACATCCACATACCACTATCATACCACTCAGGTCACTCCAACAATTTTCTCTTCCTATAGGCAAATCACTTTGGAAACTTCCGCCACCGCTTTGTGCGTTTCTGTGTTATGATGTAATGCAATGTAATTTCATGAAACGGAATGGAATGGAATGTAAAGTAATGTAAAGTAATGTAATGACAAGTAATTCAATGTAATGCAAAGTAATTTAAAGTCCTAAAGTAACGTAATGCACGTAAAGATGTGTTCATATACAATTGGCAAATGGTATACAGATACATGCGCGCATCTCACCAAAGTCATCCACCATACTGAACTTCATAGCCTTAGATTTGCTACCTGCTGTGCCTTGCTTGCCCCTCCCAGCGTGTTCCCATGACAGGGCATGTGCCCCTCGCCTCCGCAGGCAGAGGATTCACTTGTACATTAAGTTGCAGCACTTTATTGCAGATTATGACAGAGAAGGAGACTTTGACTTTATGCGACCTGAAGGGACACTCCGCAGCTGGCGGCGATGGGTTTCTGTTGAGTGGTAGGTGTTGTGTCACAGTAAGATTTTTGGGGCGGTACCTTGATTCACGTTGCTGCATTCACGGTGTGAACATATGTGAACATTCGTGTGAACATGTTCATGATCAACGGGCTTTCGCTTTCTGCGACTCATCATATCGATGATGGATCCATGGGCACTATCGGGACCTTTACGCCCCAAAGACTTTGTCAAAATTTGTCAGTTGAGATGTGGAAGACATGCCACCAATCTCTCCGGCTGCTTGAGTCGGCGGCCCAAAGAGATTGTTTTGGGAAGGGGCGGTATGAGGTTCATATTTAGAACTTGTGATCAGGCTCAATTTGTGATTTCGCTTTAAGGATCGTTTTGAAATAAGTCTTTGAATGCTTTCGATTGTTTTCTTTGGTTTTGTATGGTCTCCAAGATTTCCAGGGATTGCGGGTTTTCCCTATGATTTCTTCATGGTCTCCGTGCGGTTCCATGGTTTTTGTTGCCCCTCCCATTATTTCTACGTTTTTAAAATAAGTTAAAATAATATGTTTATATAGTGGTTTTCGTATTTTGCATTTTGTGTTTTTTGAATTTTTGCCTTTTGTCTTTAAGCCCTACCAACAGGTGAGAGGTGCATATAGGTGCATGCATGATGTGCGGTTTCCGTTTCGTATGGCTAGTTCTGTGGTGTTTCGCAGCGTATCTATTTTTCAAACTTGGCTGCATGTATGATTTTGGCGTTTTTGTATGGGTCTATAGTGTTTTGTAAGTCGGCATCTTTTGTAAGTCGACATCTTCATACTGCATGTCAAGGAAGTCTTGTAACGCATCGAAACGCTCGTTTTCAACTTGCAAGGTCTACAGGTTTAGATTCAGGAGTTCCTGCATGTGAATTTATAGCAGACCGAGCATCTGTTCAATTTTATTTTTAGATCCACTCACTTTTGGTTTGGTGATGTAATTATCACTTGTCATTTCAGATTAGTTATTTTAGACATCCTAAGGGGGCTCCTATAAGGCAATACTTCAGCAGTCCCCAGAAGTTGTCAAGCGCCATGCCGTCTCGCCGACTCCATGAGCAGTTCTGATTCAACAGACGCGCTGCTATCCACTTCGGGTTGACCACGTGTCATTTCTTGCGGTCTTTACAAAGACCTTTCCCATAATATGACTTATCTTAACGTGCTTTCATTTACCTTGGGACTTGTGTTCTTGGATGCAAAATTGCGGCTTTACTGTTGGCCTGTACACCGCATAGTTTCCACACACAGGAGTTAGAGTCGTAGACTTTTAATGTTTGCTGGGTTGCATTCGGTGTCTTCTGGGACACCATAGTGCTGATTGCTGATGATTGCGGATCTTTATCTGCGGCATGTCATTTACACTGACGTTTCTCACTTCTGATGTTTCTTGGTACTGATGCGAATGGCCTGTTTCGACAATATTCCCGTACGCAACATGTCATGTAAAGGGCATGTCTTCCTTTTATTGCGTGCATGTATGGACTTGCGGCCCCCACAGTTTCGATATATGTGAACGGTTCTAGTGATCATAGCCTGACAAATCGCTTAGAAATTGTGTGCAGGTCACCTGTCAGGTATGGAAAGCAGCTGTTACATAGGCAGCTCTTCATGGGCACCACCTTGACACCGTGACAGGCGGCACTTGGATTGACATGCAATGGTCGCATGCGGGCAATGGCATGGAGCGCGATATTTTGCTGTTTGCATGTTGAATCATGTTGACAGTTTTTGACTATTTGCAGGCGTGCAGACGTGCTGTTTCCTTGCATCCGATTGATAGTTGACGTTTGTTCTGCAATATTCATAATATTCGCACCGCTTCGCGGCTAGGTCCGCCCGCACTGTGGAATGCAGAGGGCAGGGCCAGAGATTGTTTATGATGGCATCTGCGGGCACATCTTGCCGTATGTTGGGCCAATTTTGGGGCTTATTGGGACATCTTAGACGACATGTTGGGCACGTGTCCGCGCATGTTGGGCTCTCATTGGGCTACACCGGGCCGATCTTCACCGCATGTTGGCCTCATGCTGGACTCTACAAAGGGCGCTCATTTGCACCCAAAATCGGTGTGAAATGAATGCGCTGTTTGGTGCGCCTGGCGCTGTGGGTGAGACATATTCAAATATTTTGCCACCGTGGGCCACCACGTTGCGCACATCTTGTCGTATGTTGGGCCAATTTCGGGGCTTGTTGGGCACATCTCAGGATCCGTTGGCCCAATGTTGGGGCGATTGGGCGACATGTTGAGATACATTACATGACATGTTGGGTGTTCACCCATTGGGTCCCATGTTTGCCACATCTTGGCATATGTTCGGCGAATGTTGAGGCCACTGTGCCCCATGTTGGGCACATCTTGCCACATGTTGGGTTCCAGTTGGACCAAATTCGCCGAAAAGTCGCTTTTCAGGAAACCTCAAGACGGGGATTCTAGAGCAATAAAGGGCTCCCCCCAGCTAAAGCTGTACCACAGATTGCTTATGGCTCGCAAAGACACACCCTGCACCTTTGGTACGGGTGGATTTTTTCAATTGCATGGGCTTAAGGATCCAAGATTCCTCGGAAGAGATCTTCTCGTCATATGGCCAAACGGGCCGAAGCTCTTTGTTGTCCTTCACACAGTCCTTCGACTTTGACTCCGGCGATCGCTTGTTTGACAGGGAGCCTTGGAAAAGTGCATGGATTCAAGCATTCACCAAGACAAATTTGAATCCGAACTCCCTTGGCATGGATTCAAGATGATTCCTTTTGCATTTTGCTGATCTGATTGAAGGAAGTTGTGGGCAGTGAAACTGTGCTTCCTCTTGGGTTCCGTCAGGAGATGTTCGCCTCCTTTTTGGAGGACGCGGAGGAAGGAGAAGCTGACACGAAATCATCGCGCAGAAGGCGACGGCGACGGGCTCGACGGCGACGGGCTCGACGGCAGGAGAAACGACAGGCTGGGGCTGGGCATCAAAAGAAGAGGCAGGAAGCAAAGAGGTAGGACATGGTCGGACCCAAACTTCGGAGAGCCACTTGGTTTCAATCTGCCAAGGATAAGGAATGCATGTCATCCGCGATTGCGTATTTTGCTGGGTCTTGTTTGTTGGTTGGCTGCATCCCTTCGTTTGTTCGGCGTTTCGGTTGGCAACTAGTGGCAGTGGGTTGAGTGAAATTGGACCCAATCCCCTCTCCCGTTGCGCCTGCAAGTGCTTGCCATTTTGCAGCACTCCGAGGATGGCACTGATAGAGGCAATGAGAACAGCACTAACAGCACAAACAACAATGACAACAAAAAACAGCGCAACCCAGACATCAAACAACAAACAGCAGCAGCAACAAAAATCACGAGCAACAGCAGCAGCAGAAGCAGGAACCAACTGCATGGAACACGCATCCAACAAGAGTAACATCTATTGCCTACGACCTGTATCCTACGCAAACAGCACGCAACACCGCACCGGGTTTTTGGAAAAAAATACTGACGAGGCATCCGCTGACATACCCCTGCACCATCCTGCACCCCCTGTGGCAGCTATCTGGACAACCTCCGCGCGGTGGCTGCGGGTCTATGCATTGCTGATGGGCCTTGGCAGTGCTTAGAAACGAATTGTTCAGATGTGGTGCTTGCAAGTTTCGATTTGCTTCAGAAGATTTGGGCTGTGTCTTCAAAAGAGCGGAACGCATTGATGCATGCCATGCATGGCAATGGTGCAGGAAGCAGAGCAACAGCTCGCAAAAGGAAACAGAAACAAAGAAATAACCAAGCAAATGGCTTCAATTTGCAACAAGCAGGTGAGATTCTCAAACTACTCTCTCAGCTTTTCCAATTGTTGGGACTCGGGGGTGGCGGTGGGAATTTGCTTCAACAGCTCAGTGCTATGATGGGCCATGGCGGGTGTGCCAAACCCAAGAAGACTAAGAACAAGAACAAAAATAAACAGGGCGGTGATGGTGGTCTGGGGGATTACGGCCAAGGGGGTGGTTTTTACCCTTCTTCTCCTCCTACTCAGCCTCCGCAGAATACTTCGAAACCACATCCTAAGCAAAAGGCGGACGTCCAAAAACAGCCACACACAGAGCAGCAGCTCCACAAAACGCCCAAGACCTTTGCTGAAGTGGTTCGAGCCAACACTGCGTTTAAGCCGGTGTGGAGCCTGCGTCAGTCAGACTGGACGGGGCCCATTTTGGGCTTTGATGACTTTTGTGTCGCACTGGATAAGCCTGGAAATATTTCAGCTACAGTGCAAGTGAACTCGGAAGAGCAACTTGAGGAGTTGCAGGTTTTGCTGAAAGGCGATTCCCCTGATATCAAAAGAGAGCTCAACATCACAGCTGTGATGCTAGCGCCGAAAGAGGCCAAGCAGACTGAGGAGGATCGACCTTTGCGGATGGTGCCAGGAAAGATCTCGGGCAAGGTGCAGCCCAGGCAGGCGTTTGTGATCCCACTTCAAGGCCAAGGGCCATCACTCAAGAGAGCTGCCGTTGTGTCAGCGGCTCCTGCAGTGCAGCCTGAAACTGTTGTAGTGAGATTAAGTGTTGATGCAAAATATTTGCAAAACAACGAGTGGCAGAGCATCCAGGCCAAGCCAAAGGCAAACGCGCAGGCTTGGTTGCATCGGCATGTTCCAGAGCATGTTGCGGACAAAGTCTTTGATATGTGGGCGTTTCAGCAAGAAAGCATGAAAGGCGGAGGCAAGCCAGTGATCACTGGCCTTTTACGCATTGAGCGAAGTGCTGCCAAAGCTCTTCTAGGCTGCTCAGGCAAAAGTACCTGGTTTGTGGAGCCTTTGCAATGGAACAACTCCGTGATTGAATCTTGCGATGTTGAGTGGGTCAAGAAAAGTTCGGAACTTGATGGGCCCAGCTACTTGCAGAAGATTCAGTCCATGGCTGGTGACCTGGGCATTGCCCGGAGATGGAATGGACTGGGAGTACGTAAGCCCAGGAGCGCCGAGCCTCCTCCTAAGGCCAGAGCTTGGCGCGTCACTGGTGTTCCGCGAGATTGGGCGGCTAGTACCTTGACTCAGGAACTTACACGTGCTGGCCTGACTGAACTCAAGGTGTTGTCCCGGAAAACTGTGGGCAAACAAGTGGAATGGTGGGTGCAGGCCAATGCTCAAAAGGATATGGATTTCATTGAAATTCAGGCTGGCGAAAAAGTCATTGTAGCTGTTGAAGCTCCAAGACAAAGACGGCAGAGAACACATACCATGAAACTGGCTAGCAGTGGAAGGGTCAGTTATAACCAGAGCCATGCATGGCAGGCGATTGCCACGCCTGCTCCTCGCAAATCTTTCTACATGGGAACGCCAGTCAAAAAGCCAGTGACTATTGCAGGGGCTGAGAAGGTTCCTGCTGAGAATTTGGACGAGGACAAGTCGGACGCAAAGATGGACAATGCTGGAGAACCCGCTGGGGCAAAAAGAACTGTCAGCACTCCTGAAAAGAGTCCTCCGGCCAAGCGTGTTGCGGGGGAACCCAAGCCCCCTCACAATATGAAGGTGAAAAGCATCCCTGCTGACGGCAACTGTCTTTTTGAAGCCCTTGCTCAAAGTTTGGGCGGAAAAACAGCCAGGAATGTGCGTGCAAGCGTTGTCACCCACCTGACCAAGCACCAGGGTCGTTACAAGCCCTGGTGGGACGGCAAGGAGCCAACAGAGGCGGAGAATGCTTGCGAATCATGGGAGAGCTATCTCACCATGCTCTCAAAGATTGGTGCTTGGGGCAGTGCTCTTGAAGTTTCTGCTGCGGCTGTGCACTACGATCGCCCGATCATTGTCTTCCAGCCTCGTGGGGTTCCGGAGATTTACAATGGTCGTGGCAAGGGTGGTGCTCCCATCGCTTTGTGGTTTCGTTCAAAGCACTATGAACGACTTGAAGGTGCTTTCCCTCCTGAAGTTTTGACTCCGGCCGCAAATGGTCCAATGCAGGGCAACAGAGGTGGAGGATCGGAATGTGGCGCTACTTCAGTTGGTGCCACCAGATTGTCAGCTTTGCCGTCACTGGTTCATAGCAACAATAAACGTGGAAGGTGTGCTAGCCCCGCGCCCGCCTCTACTTTGTCAGAGCAGCGCAAGAATTCTTCTTCCCCTGCGGCTGCTACTTCGGGTCGGGGTCCGTGCACGCCACGTGCAGCCAGTGAAGGACAAGACGCAGCCAGTGCTTCGTCCAGACGCACTAAGCGTACTGAGTGGACATGCCCTTTGTGTGACTTTTCCACTGGGGTGTGCAAAGGATGGGTTGACAAGAAGAGAGCTCATATCAATGCTTGGCATCCCGATGAGAAGGAACAGTTGAAAATCGGCTTCAAAAACACGTTGCCTGCGCTGTCTGCGGTCAAGAAGGGAGGAGTCTATAGCTGGAAGTGTCCTGTTTGCAAACTTGGCTTGTCCGCTGATCACAACCTCAAACCTGGCCAAGTGTACAGCGTCATCCGCAAGCATAGGGAAGACAAACATCCTCAGGCGGATGCCAAGCTCTTCCACAAGGACAGCAGCTTCAGACGGGAGAATGCTAGCAAAGCCACGCGCCAGGTGCGTGCAGCTGCAGTGGCTCGAAGGTTGCTTGGCTTCAAACCTGGCGATGCTGGAGCACATGACCCCACTTTCGTTACCATTCCAGCCACAGGAAATGGCAAACAGAAAAGAGTTGGAATGTCTTACGTCATTTGCAAAACTTGTGGCAGTATGGCTTTGACAGCGAAGCGTTTGGCAAAGATTGCTTGTGAACAGTATGCTTCCAGCAAAGGGCCCAAACGAAAGCAGTTGGTGGAAAGATTGCGTGCGTGCCTCAAAAATGCAGACATCAGCGATGACCTCAAGAAGGGTGCCCGCACAGTTTTGGAAATCATCGACTCTGGAGCAGTTCGCAACACTGATACTGCAGCAGACAGCACGCATCAGATTGAGGCCATTGTGTGGCCTGCCAATTTTACGGTGCGTTTTGCTTGTGTGCATTGCAAGCGTTGTGTCAACAACATCAGACGGCTTACAGGAAGTCAGTGTCCTCGTAAAATGGTTTGGACTAAGTTTCGAAAGGGCCAGAGGGATATTTTGGTGCCTCTTGCGGCTCAGGCTCCAAGTGCCAGACAGCGAGCTGCTTCGCGAGCTTTGGACATTTTGGGATTGCAGCAGGATGGCGCTGTGGATCAGAACCCATGACGGGCTCTGACAGCACTATGCGGTTGGGGACTATGAATGTACGGTCCTTGGGAGGCCGCTTGGGTGGTGTGCTTGACTTTGCTCAGCTCCAGAATTTACATGTTCTGTGTCTTCAAGAAACTAGAGTTAACAATCACAGCTGGAATGCTGTGACTCGTGCCGTCAAGGCACGCGGGTGGCAACTTTTTCCTGGCCCTCAAGGAAGAAATTCGAAAAATGTAGTGGAAGGTGGTACATTGGTTCTAACAAAGTGGCCTGCTGAGGCCTTGGCCCTTCCTGTCGACATGGTGTCTGTGGAAAGATCCATGGCCGTCAAACTCTATAGACCTCAGCAAAGGCCGTTGATTCTCATCAATGTTTACTTACATGCTTCAGATCGCACAGCTGCCAGCCGTGCGCTGGGTGCGCTGTTCGAGTTTGTTGCTGCTTGTGGTGAAGATACAGTGATCATGGGTGACTTCAATTTGGAAATTCATTGTTGGCCAATTTCTAACGTTTTGGCTACTGGACAGTGGCGGTCCTGTGATGAGCTGGTTTGCGGAGATCGTGTTTTAGGTGGTACACATCGAACTGCTGCAGGTGTTTATACAGGTGTGGTCATTGACTATGGCTTGTGCACTCCTCGGTTAATTATTACTGGTAGGGAGCAACATCTTGGCGTGGCTGACCATGACGCGGTGGTTTACAACTTGCATGTGCCTGGTTCATTATCCACACCGTGGACTCTCCCAGTTGGTGCCCCTTTGCATTCTGAAAAGGTTGCTGAAGCTTCTTGGCTAAGTGCTTGGGAAGAAGTATGTGACGATTTTGGAAATGCATTGAGTACAGGCAACGTGGACTCTGCTTGGACCTTACTTAGCAACTGCGCAGAATCTCTTCTTCTCGCACGTGGCAAAACTGGTCGTGCTATGCGCCAGGGCCCGCAGCAAATTGCCAGTCCTCCGTCTTCAAAAGCGCCTTCTTTGCAAACAGTGAAAGAGCGCAAGCTCAGACGCTTCGCACGAAGAGTGGTGGAGTACCAAAAGGCCCCGTTGCCAGAGTTGGAGAAGAAGTTGGTTCGTGATGGCCCTCATTTACATCATTCTTTGGCTTTTTTCTCTTTGGATGACCCCAGGTTGGTTAGTGCAGTGCTAGAATTGGCAAATGCAGAAGCTACAGCAGCGTCCAAGTTACGCTTGGAGGCGTGGAAGGACAGCGTGCAGGAAAATGCCACCAAACTAGGCAGGTGGGTCAAACAGGTGCCGCCCGCCAGTCCTACTGCAAGTTTTGATGGCCCCATTCTACCTGCAGATAGGGCCAAGTGCGCAGCATTGGATTGGGAGAGGTATTGGAATCCAGGGTCGCTTCCGAATTTGAATCTGGGGGACCAGTTGTACTCTCAGATTGGCTCTGCAAGCGATCCATTGCCGGATGACTGTATTCAGGTTAGTGGTTCTGAATTGGTTCGGATTGCGCTCAAAGCGAAGGACAAGGCTCCGGGCATGGATGCCTGGACAGCTCTCCATTTGTGCAATCTTCCCATTGCTTTTTGGGATCAGGTCGGTGCTCTTTGGGATGCTTGCTTGCGACATGGCTGTGTTCCTACGATGTGGAAAGATGTTAGAATTGCTTTGTTACCAAAAGCTACTGGTGGCATGCGCCCTTTAGCCATTGTCACTGTCCTGTGGCGTATTTGCATGAGTGCCACTCTGAAAAAATTACAGCCTTGGATTGCGGAATGGGCTTCGCCCGAACTTTTTGGTGGTCTACCAGGCAAGGGCATCATGGAAGTCCATGAACGTTTCTACGAAGCTGTCAGCGCGGCAAAGCAGTCTCGTGTCGATTTGGTCGGGTGCAAAGCTGATGTTCGCAAGTGTTTTGATTCAGTTTGCCCTCAGACAGCCATTAAAGTGTGGCGATGGTTCGGTGCTCCCTCATCAATTTGTGATTTACTCGCTGATTTTTACAGTGAACAGCGTCGTTGGTTTGCTTGGCAAGGTTCTTATCACCCTCATCCGGTTATTGCTCAACGGGGTTTGTTGCAAGGCTGTCCAGCCAGCCCTGCGCTACTGAACGCTTTGATGACAGTTTGGGTGAGGTTTGTCAAACGGCAGGAACCAAGGATTTCTTTGGCTATTTATTTTGGACGATCACACCATGTGGAAACAAGGTTGTCAAAGTTTTGAAGTGGTCATCAACGCCATGACTGCGGGAGCGCAAGCCGATGCTATTCTCGGCTTCGAACTTCACCCTGACAAATTGGCTAGCTTCGCCACCAAACCGCATCTGGTTGCCAAGGTGCGCAAGAAGAAAGATTTAGTAGGTGTACCTGCGGATACTTTCACACTGCTTGGCATTCAATACAATTTGTCACGCCCCAGTTCTTGTGTTGATGCGGATATTGTCAGTGACAACATTCAGCGACGATGTCTCAAAATTCGTTTGGCAGCACAGCACTTAGGCACTCGCATTGCATTGGTGCATAAGTTGGTGATATCTTTATCTGCTTGGTCCGGTGCTTTTCATCACTTCAGTGCAAGAACCATTCGAACATGGACATCTATGATCGAAACTGCACTTTGGGGTCGAAGGGCTCCTCCAGGTAGGAGCCGGCTGCTCTTTTGGAATTCTTTGGGTTCTGCAAGACTACATCCGATGTTTGCGCTCCAGTTCACCGCCGCCCGGGCGGAATGGAATCGGCAATGCCGCCGTGCCCAAGGGTTGCCTGCAGCTACCTCGCCTGCTCCTCGCTGGAAAGCAGTACTCAAAGATTGGAAATGGCGACTTGACGATGGCCTGTGGCACACGCCTGCTGGGATTTTGAAACCTGGGTGGATGTCTTTGAAAAGCTTGCAAAAGGCCGCTATCCATTCATGGCTCGTTGGTTTGTGGACTAAAGACACCAAAACGGATGGTCGATGGCCAAACGGCAAGGAGCCGGTTTTCCTTTTTCAGGCAAATGCAGCTTTAGGCATGGATTACTACAGTCGCAGGGTTTTGACTGGTGCTGCAGTGGATGGCAGGGTCACAGAGCGCTTTGGTTCTGCTTTGAGTTGTGAATGTGGATTGCGGTCTCCTGATCGAGAACATCTCACTTTTCACTGCCAAGCGCAGCCATGGGATGGTGAGTTCAGGAGCGCTACTGAACGTCGTTTGCTGGTTCCACTTGTGGATGCTCCTCCTGTGTTGCCTTTTTCCAACATGGTTGCAGATCCTGCTTTGGTTACTTTTATTCAGCAATTCGATCCTCTTCAGCGACCCACCTTGGGCTTGGACGGCAGTTGTATCATAGCTACTTCCTGTGATCGATGGCAAAGAGCTAGCTGGGCGGTTTCGACACTTTCAGGCACCACTGTTCAAGGTGCCGTGACTGGTTTTGAGCAAACACTTGCTGCAGGTGAGCGTGCTGCTCTTCTGCAAGCTTGTTTAGCCTCTTCTGCAGCTAACAGACCGGTGATGCTCTTGATTGACAATCAGGCTTTGGTGCGGCGGCTTCAGCGAGGCATTAGCACTGGCCGTTGGGGGGGGGACTTGCCGCTTTTCTGGCAGCGGATCAGCGGCTTATTGATTCAGGGCACTGTTTGCACTTGGATCCCTTCTCACAACAAGGTGCCTGACTGGACACCACCAGATGGTTGGATTGATGTTCATCTCTGCCGCGTTCTCAATGCGACAGCCGATGCTCAGGCAGGTGAGGTGTTGCGTGACTCACGCTCCATGATCGCTGCGGCTGTGCAGCGACATCAGCGAGCCGTGGCTTGGGCTGCAGCAGTTTGGCGTCTGCAGAGGCTACGGACTTTACCTTTTTGGCAAGTCGTACTTGATCAACAAACATTCCATGCGGAATGCTAGCTGGCGCACTGTGTTTACTTCTTTTTTATTTCAGGCAGGTTTCGCTTCCTTTGAGTTTTGCTTGGAGAAGTATGGGAACTTGATTCTCGCAGATGGCATACTATGGCGTCTTAACTACTTCACTTCGGTGAGGAGCAGGTTGACGTCCGCTTACAACAACAACAACAACAACAACACCCCCTGTGCCAATGTTGGTGACGCGACGAGGAAAAGTCTGCCTCCAAAATGTTGTTTTTCCATCCCTTCGGGACTCACAAGCGCAACACCCGGGCTTTGCAGCGCTGCCGGTCCTTACATCAAGGTTGTTTTGAAAAGAAAAAGTGACACACAGAACGACCATGCAACCTACAACACAAAAACCAACAGCAGCAACAACAGTAGTAGAACAGGTTGTAGAAGGACAAGAGCGACCGCATTCATGTAGAGGGCTTCGGTTCGTTACCTCGTTGTTGGCTCTTGGGTTATTCGGTGTGGATGGGTTGGTTGGCTTAACGGTTTCTTGCTTGGTGTTTGTATTTGAGTTACGCTGAGGGACGCGCTTGGGGGAGGCTCCGCATCCCCTTAAATCCCTTACAGGTGGATGTGGAAATCGGTTCTGTTTGCAATTGAACGGTTCATTTCCATGCGGGAAAGCAATTCGGGTAAGTCGGTACTTTTTGCGTTTAGCTTGGGTTTTGCATGACAGCTTGAAAGTGGCACGTTTAAATCTTGCAGCAACTTCCATGGGTATACCGGTATACCAATGGAAACTATTGTATATAATTAGATGCTGTCCTGACAGCCATTTCTGCCATGATTTGCTGCGCAGCGCTGTTTAACAGACATGTGGTATGTGGATCGGACAGATTTTTTAGTCTGTGGACATGCTTATCGTATGTGGTGTATCAGATCTATCAGGTTTTGCCCAGTGCCTTGGAAACCCGCCGTGCCCGCAGCCCGCTTCATTTTTTGGATTCCCTTCAGGCTCGGAAGGCGAAAAGAGAAGAACGAAGACTCTCGGCTCCAAGTTGCCATGTGAAGTTTGCAAACACAAAAGAATTCAAGAAGAATTCAAGAATTTGCTTATAAGTTTTGCTTATTTTTGCTTCACGTGTTTTGATTCGTTTAAGTCTAAGTGCACTCACTTTGCCCAGGAATGATGGCCAAACGAATATTTGGCTGCTTGGGAAAAGCATCGTTTTGGAATGCGGAAGGCTACAGCAAATCTTTTGGTAGCTATGTCGGATTCAGCTTCGGTCAGGCTGCTGGCGGCAGCAACAATGCACTCAACGATCTTGTACAAGGACCGAGAGAGGAGAATTGTTTGACAAAACTGCGGGGCCAGTCCATTTTTGGCACGATTTCGATATATTTCGATGATGGTATTTCTTGGAAATGCACGAGGTTCAACCCTGCAACTGTGCAAAAGGGAGGTTTGTCCCATCTACGGAGTCCCCGAGGGAGAGCGGAAAGCTGTCATGGAAATCTGGGCTATGAGCTGTGGGCTATGGATGGCTATCTATAGCTATGGTTTTCATTGACTAAAATTGGGGTTGATTGAATCTGATTGGGGTTTTCTCAAAGATTGTTTCAGGACGAGCTCCAAGATTCACTTCAGCCTATTACAGTTTCTATGCGAGCGTTGGTAGCTTGGCTCTTTTGCAAAGCGCCGAGGGTTACTGGACTGTTAAGATTAAGTGATACTAGCAATCTTATTGTTGCATTTTGGATTACTGTAAGGCTTTTATAAGGATAACTGTAAGGATTACTGTAAGGAGATGTGAGGATATTTTTTGAGAGAAGTGATTTGCACCTGGCGTTCCAATCGATGCATGGAAATGCCGTTTGTTGGGAATCTGTAGCCCTGACCTGCCTCCAAAAGCTTTTATGTTGAGAGGTGTAGGGTGATGCCATGACCTGAAGTTGGATAATAATTGGGGGAAAATGTTTTTAATTTCTGCGTTCATCCTGATGAAATTGCTACGGAAGCGTCGCCTTTTCTTGGATCCAGATCGGACGCGACATGCGCAAGATTAAATTTGTTAAATTAGCCCAATGTATTTTTGACTGCAGTAGTCCATGAGAGGGGCCCAACAAAAGCGTCATTGGTAGATGAGAAAGATGCTTTTGCTGGAGAGGGACACGGAGGTTTTGTGGAAAGGGGAAGCATTCACACTGACCCGGAGGCGTTGGTGCGGTCTACGAATGGTTTTGGGGCGGCCTTTCTATAACCGGTGCCTTCACGGTCACACAATCATCGGCATTGGTGGGTATTTACATTGGGGCCTCCGCATGTGGTTGGACAGCGGTCGGATCCACAACACGGCGTTGCCCTTTTGGAAAACATCTCGGCCCTTTCAAGTGCAGTCGCGCTACAGGATTTACGATTTCGCTCTTCTGCTGCGGAATTGACCTCGTGTCTGGGGAGAACTCGTGCCGATAGGATACCCCTACGATATTAGTGACCATATTTGCCGATAAATATTATATTTATCTTTATTTATTAAAAATGTTTATATATTTTATTTTATATTTATTTTAAAATTAAAAATCAAATTATAAATTCAAAATATTATTTGTATTATATATATTTATAAAATTATATATTTATATTTCTATATTATTTTATATTTTTTGAATTATTTATTTAATTTTATTTATATATATTTATTTATTTTATTTCGTTAATTATTTATTTATGTATTTATATAAATATTTAAATATATATGTTTTATTATTTTATATTTATATTAATTATTATTTAATAAAATAATATATAATATTATTACATAAAACGGGACGCCTGTCGAAAAAGTGGGCGCCCCTGTCGGAAACCCGACACTTGTACCCGGAATTGATCCAATACATCATATAATTATGCCAAAAGTCCCAAATTTTCCGGAAATTTCGGACGAAACCCCGAATTTTCACGGAAATTTGGCGATTTAGGAATTTCCTAAAGTGGCAAATTTTCCGGAAAATTGGTGCTTCGGGATTTTGACCAAACCGCGAAATTTTCCCGAAAATTGGTGCTTCGGGAGGTCGACTCAACCGCGACTTTTGGCAGAACAACTCGCATCGCAATGCCTGATTTGGGGGTACCCGAATTTTAGGACAACGTGCTTGTCGAAAAAGTGGGCGCTCCGGTCGGAAACCACGTATTTATAGCCGGAATTGATGCAATATACCAGTAGTACCGCACAAGGAGGTGGCGGAAGTTTCAAAAATAGGAAACCTATAGGAGAGATTGGTTGTTGTGAATCCGGGATGGCAGAGCGAATC